TTTGCGAATCGTTTAGTGTTTTCTGATTCTGACTTGGAGCTGGAGGGAAATGAAACCGAGCGGAGACACTAGGGGGCGACAGACTCGATAGTCTGATGAAGCCTCCAGTAGAAAAGTTCCAGAGTGCAGCTTTAGATGAGTGTGAGTTTGTTTTCCAGATGTTTGAAGCAGCAGAGGCAGAGTCTGGTTCTGGTTCTGTCTCGTGTCTCGTGTCTCGTGTCTCACCTCCTCACTCACTTTGACACTTTTACACTTTTACACTTTGACACTCGATCTATTTTTAAACCTGTGATTATGGAAATGAAGCTCCTCCTCCTCAAGACTCAAGACTGTTAAAGAAAAACAAAACGAAACGAAAAGAAACGACAAATAAATGTGACTCCACTTAATAAACCAAATATATGGAGTTTAGACCTGGTTTAGACCTGGTTTAGTCCTGGTTTAGACCTGGTTTAGACCTGGTTTAGTCCTGGTTTAGACCTGGTTTAGACCTGTTTAGTCCTGGTTTAGTTCCTGGTTTAGTCCTGGTTTAGTCCTGGTTTAGACCTGGTTTAGACCTGGTTTAGACCTGGTTTAGACCTGGTTTAGTTCTGGTTTAGTCCTGGTTTAGTCCTGGTTCCTGGTTTAGACCTGGTTTAGTCCTGGTTTAGTCCTGGTTTAGACCTGTTTAGACCTGGTTTAGTCCTGGTTTAGTCCTGGTTTAGACCCGTTTAGTCCTGGTTTAGACCTGTTTTAGACCTGGTTTAGTCCTGGTTAGTTCTGGTTTAGTCCTGGTTTAGACCTGGTTTAGACCTGGTTTAGTCCTGGTTTAGTCCTGGTTTAGTCCTGGTTTAGACCTGGTTTAGACCTGGTTTAGACCTGGTTAGTCCTGGTTTAGTCCTGGTTTAGTCCTGTTTTAGACCTGGTTAGACCTGGTTTTAGTGGTTTAGTCCTGGTTTAGTCCTGGTTTAGACCTTTTTAGTCCTGGTTTAGACCTGTTTTAGACCTGGTTTAGTCCTGGTTTAGTTCTGGTTTAGTCCTGGTTTTAGACCTGGTTTAGACCTGGTTTAGTCCTGGTTTAGACCTGGTTTTAGTCCTGGTTTAGTCCTGGTTTAGACCTATTTAGTCCTGGTTTAGTCCTGGTTTAGACCTGGTTTAGTCCTGGTTTAGTCCTGGTTTAGTCCTGGTTTAGTCCTGGTTTAGACCTGGTTTAGACCTGGTTTAGTCCTGGTTTAGACCTGGTTTAGACCTGGTTTAGTCCTGGTTTAGTCCTGGTTTAGACCTGGTTTAGTCCTGGTTTAGTCCTGGTTTAGACCTGGTTTAGTTCTGGTTTAGTCCTGGTTTAGACCTGGTTTAGTTCTGGTTTAGACCTGGTTCTGGTTTAGTTCTGGTTTAATCCCTTTGTTCTTGTTTTTCAGAGTTGTTGGTTTGTGAGGAGCTTCACGCTGTTCTTCATCTGGTGCTGCAGGCGGGAAACCTCTTAAACGCCGTGAGTCACAGCGCCTCCGGACTCCGCGGGGCCCCCTGGAGTCACAGCGGGGCCCCCTGGGGTCACGGTGCCCCTGGAGTCTCGCGGGGCCCCCTGGAGTCACGGGGCCCCTGGAGTCTCCGCGGGGCCCCCTGGAGTCACAGCGCCCCCTGGAGTCACCGCCCCCTGGAGTCACAGCGCCCTGGAGTCCAGCGGGGCCCCCTGGAGTCTCCGCGGGGCCCCCTGGGGTCTCCGCGGGGCCCCCTGGAGTCTCCGCGGGCCCCCTGGAGTCACGGGGCCCCCTGGAGTCTCCGCGGGGCCCCCTGGAGTCACAGCGGGGCCCCCTGGAGTCACAGCGCCCCCTGGAGTCTCCGCGGGGCCCCCTGGAGTCTCCACAGCGCCCCTGGAGTCTCCGCGGGGCCCCCTGGAGTCACAGCGGGGCCCCCTGGAGTCACAGCGGGGCCCCCTGGAGTCTCCGCGGGGCCCCTGGAGTCTCCGCGGGGCCCCCTGGAGTCACAGCGGGCCCCTGGGTCTCCGCGGGGCCCCCTGGAGTCTCCGCGGGCCCCCTGGAGTCTCCCGCGGGGCCCCTGGAGTCTCCGGGCCCCTGGAGTCTCCGCGGGGCCCCCTGGAGTCACGGGGCCCCCTGGTGTCTCCACACTCAGTTTTATAAAATCTTCTAATCGTGTGTCTGTTGATTTTCAGGGAGGATTTTCTGGAAACGCCGCTGGATTCAAACTCTCGTCTTTACCGACTTTGGCCGAAACTAAATCCAACAAACCTGGAATGAACCTGCTGCACTTTGTCGCCCTGGTAACACTTCACACTCTTCACACTTTTTACACTTTTTACACAAGTGTTTTTTTGGGTTTTTTTTTTATTATCAATACCTGAGAAATCTGAGGATCTGGTTAGTTTTGATTGTAGTTTTCATGTCGGTTGTGATTTGAGATGTTTTTGACAGATGTTTGTTTTTCAGGAGGCTCAGAAGAAAGACGAGAAGCTGCTGGATTTTCCTCTGAAGCTGCGACACGTTCAGGCTGCGTCCAGGTAACACCAGACCGAACTTTCACCAAACTTCTGCACTTTCACCAAACTTCTGCACTTTCACCAAAACTTCTGCACTTTCACCAAAACTTCTGCACTTTCAAACTTCTGCACTTTCACCAAACTTCTGCACTTTCAACTTCTGCACTTTCACCAAACTTCTGCACTTTCACCACTTTCACCAAACTTCTGCACTTTCACCAAACTTCTGCACTTTCAGCACTTTCACCAAGCACTTTCACCAAACTTCTGCACTTTCACCAAACTTCTGCACTTTCACTAAACTTCTGCACTTTCACTTTCACTTTCACTTTCACTTTCTGCACTTTCACCACTTTCACTTTCACTTTGCACTTTCACTTGCACTTCTGCACTTTCAGTGTTTCTCACAGAGTTTCTTGTGTGCAGGATTTCTCTGGAGGCTTTGGACTCGGAGCTCCAGAGTTTGGTGAATCGGACTCGCTCCGTCGAGGAGAACGCTCAGAGAGACACAGACCTGCTCCAGCAGCTCCACGACTTCCTCCAGGTCAGAACTACAAGAACCACACCTGTGCCACACAACAAGACACACAACAACACACAAAGAAAACACACAAACAGCACAAGACCTGAGCTCGTTCAAAGTTTAACAGTTGTTTTGTTTCAGAGCGCCTCGTCCACTCTGGTTTCTCTTCGTGCTTCTCGGCTGAAGCTCGGGTCCGAGTCTGAGGAGCTTCTGGACTTTTTCTGTGAGGACAAAGAAACGTTCAAACTGGACGACTGCTTCAGCATCTTCAGCTCCTTCTGCCTCAGGTTCACCGCCGCGGTCAAGGTACGACGGCCGAAGAACAACTGAGAATATCTGTTCTTTTTTTATCTGACACATTTCATGCTGTGGTTACAGGAAAGAGTCTCTGCTCCTCACATTCCTTTTGTTTTTTTTTTTTTTTTTACACTCTGTTTATTGTGTTTTTGACGTCCAATATACAGTGTCAGTCCATAAAATAATCAGACATGTTCAAAAAATGAAGCAGCCTTTCAAAGAAGCTCCACCAAAAATATACATGTCATATATATATTTGTCAACAACATCTACGGACCCTTAGAAATGATTCAATATTATATGTTGGATGATGTTAAACAAAAAGTAATAATATTTCACCAAAATGTGGATAGAACAAATCCCATCAGCTCGGACTTAAATAGTAGTTTAAAAACCTTCTTTAAATAAGATAATAAAAGGCCACCACATCCTGTTAAATTGATCTTCCTGACCTGCAAAGAGGATCTACTTTTCTCTAGATCCAAATGCATCATAACGTCTCTGAACCAGTTCACATGTGACGGAGGCTCTGCCTGTTTCCACTTCAGTAAAATGAATCATGGTGCAGACAGATAAACTGTAACACCTGACGCTCACATTTATTTTAACAACTTTTGAGTCTATTATCCCAAGTCCTGCTGTAAGAGGATTTAAATCAACAGGTTTGTGTAGAGCTTTTGACAATATTAGAAAAATATTAGCATTTTGCAAATATTTGAAAAATATTTTGCAATGGCAAAACATAATATCCAACTGGTTTCTTACATCTCAAGAAATTCAGTCACAACTAATTAATTATAAAATTTTAAATCAATGTTACTGGACTCAAAGCAGAATGGCTGGACTGAACTTAAAAGACAATGATAAATAAAAAAAATAAAAAAAAGATGGTCACATTGTATTACTGTTAATTATATTATTTATTTATTTGTTCTTCTACTTCTGTGACATCTGATTTGTCTGCACAAAAAATAATAATAAAAAAAAAAAAGAAAAATATTTGAGCAGAAATGGAACAGTTCAGAGCTTCCCCCAAAACACACGTGACAAAGAGTGTGGGGCCTGTTTCCAGCGTTTACACAGAGAGTCTACGTCAGGGAACATCTTACTTCATCTGAGTTTACACCAGTGGAGTCTGTGGACAATCTTAAGTTGTATTAGACTTTGTCTCGCACAAACTGAGGCAGTGTGTGTTTGTCCAGGGCCTGTTCCCATTGCTCCTCCCACATTTCAGTACCAAGTTCTTCCTCCCAGGCTTGTCTAAGTATTGCAAAGTATTATGACCATTAAATTGAGTTTATTATATAGGATTGATATGCTCCTCTAGTATCAGAGTTACTCAAAAATAATGAGTCAGTGGGTCCACATTCCTTTTGTTTGAGAAATAAATGAACACATATTAAAGAATTTAGTTTTTCTTTGCCGGTGGGTCTTTGAAGTAGGCATGAAATAGGTATTAAGTTTTTATATAAATGGTTTTAAAAGAACTTGAATTTAACCTGGAGGAGATTTTATGTGTCGTAAACTTGTATTGAAGCGTGTTTTGAATGAAGTTGTGTTTCATGTTTCAGGAAAACGCCGAGCGACAGAGGAAAGAAGCGGCTCGGAGACGCAGACTTCAGCAGCTGGAGGAACAGAAGCGGCACTCGTGGGCGGCCGGAGAACAGGTCTGAGATCAGTAAACGGTGTAATTCGCGCTCTTCAAACCTCTGACCTCTGAACCTCCTTGTGTTCTTGTTCCAGTTCGTTGGCGCGTTCGGTCTCCGCAGCAGCAGCGAACTGGACGTGACCTCGGCGCTGTCCCGCCACGACGAGGCCGGGCTGCTGTTGGAGCTGCTGATGCCCAAACCGCGCTCGCCTCTTCTACGGCGATCCGGCAGCTTCCGACGGACGAGAAACCCGACGGAGGAGGGCGACGTCAGGGCGTCTGGAGTCCAGCGCGCGGAGAGAAAAGACAGTTCGACGAGTCTCCGCGTCGCCAACGAACAAACGCCGCAGACTGCTTTAAACGTGACGACGGGAAACCTCAGGATCGACGCGAAACAGGCGAACGCCGACACAGCTACCTCTGATCTCAACAACAACGGAAATGAACAACGCAACGACCAAGAAAGCAGCAAAGACGAACTTGAAACGAAATCAACATCCAGCGCTTCGAGCATGTCCGTAACTGTTGAAAAACTCACGCTGGTCCCTGAACTGAGAGCGTTCGACAGAGTAAACGCGCCGACGAGAAGCAAGACGCAAAACGACGCAACGGTTTCGGATTTGGACGAAGAAAATCTGGAGAAACCGCCTGAAAAAGTCGAATTTGTCGTTAAAAGTAAAGACAATGTTGGCGATACGGTGATAGTTTGGTGCGTCACCGGCGTCTGCGAAGTGGAAAGTGACGATCCAAACTTCGCGGAAACAGTTTCGTCCGATGAGGCGTCTTCGAACCAGCAGGTAGCAAAAAACGCAGTGCCTATAAGCAGCCAGCCGATGCCTTCGACACGATTGGGCGATGTCACTACAGTTGCCTTAAAAGACGGAAAAGAAAAAGTTGAGGTTGGACGCGGAGAGGAAGCGGAATTGAAAAATCGGGAGAGAGCGGATGAAAGTAAAGCAACCAACAGAAAACAAGAAAGGGAATGTGTGAAGGAGGAAGTAGTTTGTCAAGAAAGTACGAAAACGGAGCGAGTTTCAGAAGACGATCAAAATACGAAGCAAGAAAATGAGGTTATGAGTAAACGAAAAGGTGACGAAAGTTTGGAAGACGTTAAAAGTTCTAAAAGTAGCCAAAACAATGCAAAAGTTTCGCCTCATGCCAAGACGAATCAAGTCGCGAAAAAGTCTCCCAGCCCGAAAACGTCGCCGGGAAGTAAAGCGATCCGAACTTTGACCGCGACGGAAACCCACAGCATGCGCCGCGTTGTGCCCATTTCTCGGCCGAACTCCGCCAAAGCTCCGGACAGACTTCCGGGATCCCAAAGGGGGGTTTCGTCCGTGTCCGTCCCCGGCAGGAGCGCTTCTTCGCGGCGAGGAGAGCGACCGTCCACCGCCCCCTCGTCCAGGAGGTCCAGTCTGAACAAAGCGGACCAGGACCTCGATCTGACCAAGAAAACCTCCACGAAAAAGACGCAAGAAACGAAAAAATTACCGCAAGAAGAAAAGATCTGTAGGTCTACGTTAAGATCGATGAACCAGAGAGAGGAGAGAGGGGTTCTGAGCGCTCCAGTGACGCCCAACCACAAAGCGACGCCGGGATTCGCCAGAAACACGGCGTCGAGTTCGTTCAGAAGGACAAATACGAGCTTCGCGAAGAATTCGGCGAACAGCAACGCAGCTTCGACACAAAACTCCGCTCATTTGACACCCAAGATTTCACCCAAAATGTCTCCTAAATTGTCTCAAAAATCGCCCAGTTTGACGCAAAGACAAAATGATGCGAATTCGTTGTCTAAAATTTCGAAAATCTCGTCTCCGAAATCGCCGTCTTCCACAAATTCGACAGAGAGCGAAGCGAAAATGAATCCTAAAGTCTTGTCGCAGAAAATGTCGCCGTCGTCCGATGTTACGCCGCAAAAATCTGCCGTGAGTTCTTCGGATAATTCAAATTCTAAAATCACGTTGTCGTCAAAAGATCGGCAAGATTCAGAAACATTTAAAAGCAAAAAATTAGTGGCGGAAATTTCTAAAACGTCTCTTGATCCGCCTTCAGATTTCGCAAACAACAACGCAAACGTAGATACCTCAAAATCTAAAGAAACGGACGGAAATGTGTCAAAATTGCAGGTTGATTTGTTTAAAAACGTGATACAGAAATCCAAGGTTTCAGAGAATTCAAATCAGGAGTCTTCAGAAACGTTTTCTGGAAATGAATCGCTGAATTTGATGAACAATAATTTGGATCAAGCCACATCTCCGCAAACGTCCCCAAAAATAGTGACTCAGAATTCGCGAAATCACAACGATGGAGTTAAAACATCAAATTTGTCAAACTTGGAACATTTAAACAAACAAAAAAATCCTACAAACGCTCAAAACTCAAACTTAAGTTCTTCAGGAAAATGTCAAAATTCTCCAGGTAAAATTTTGTCTCCTAAAGCCGCTCCTCGCTCGTCGTCGATCAGTTTTCCGTCCAGACAATCGCCGAATCAGAATTCAAATTTATCTCCAAAATCTCCAGAATTTACAAAATCTCAGTCGTCTTCGCCCAAAAGTCCAGATTTAGGTTTGAAAAACGTGAAAGCGCCGCCGCGTTCGCCTCAGCTCGCCGCTCCCCCTGGCGGCCGCAGGAGGAACGACAGCGGGAATTTCTCTGACAAAACTCCCCCGTCGGCAAAAGACTCGTCCCGACCGACCTGGAGATAACGAAAAATGTGAATAGTTTTTCGTAGAGATGCACCGATCTGGCCCCGGTATCGGATATCGGCTTCCAAATATCGGTTCGGTCGATATCCGGGTTCGACAGATGAATTCACGTCATAAAACTCCGAACGATTTAACTTTTATTTACTCAAATTTGTTCTGTAGTGACGTAAAGATGCGCTGCGTAGTTTTTATCGTAGGTTTCGCCGCTCACCTTCTTGTCACCGTGGAGATATTATCGCTTAAAGAAAGTTCCGGAATATGGCATTAGACGTGTCTATCCAGCGGTCGTTTATTGTTTTCGGTGCTCGAAAATGCCTCGAAAACGTCGCCTCTCCACGGGTCCGACCTGTAACTCTGGCCTGGTTGTGCCACCCGCTGGTTTTCGTGGAAACAGATAAAGTTAATGCCGCATTCTGGAACTTTCTTGGCCAAGAAATGACATCAGGTGGTGGATCCTTTACCAGTTAAAGTAAATAACAGCTCGTAAAACACTCGTTTAAAGGAAATAAACTCTCATTTGTTTTTTGAAATAATAAAACCAAAAATAAGAAAATGAAAAAACAATTTTCTTCAAAAATTAAATAAATTAATACATTGAAAATGATTTGGTTTTTTTTTCAGTTTTCGATTTTGTGTTAAAACAAAAAGAAAGAAGGATAATCACCGTTTCCCGTTTGTGATTTAAATTGCGATGCCGGATTTTGCACCACATACACTAAAAACTACGATTAAACCGGGACTAAATTGGGACTAAAACAGGACTAAACCATTTTTAGTTCTGGTCTGGTCCCGAACTCAGTCCTGGTCTGGTCCCGGTCTAAGTCCTGGTCTAAGTCTTGGTCTCGATCACGGTCTGGTTCTGGTCTGGTCCCAGAACTGTTCTAGTTCTGGTTTAGTCCGTATGTGGTGCAAAAGTCCAGTTTAATCACAGTTTAAGTCACGTAAACGGGAAACGGTCGTTATCCGTTTTTTCCATTTTTCATTTAAACACAAAATCGAAAAACTGAAAAAAACAAATCTTTAACTGTTTTTTCATTTTGGTTTTGGAGACAATGAAGAAAATTATTGTTTTTTCATTTTCTTATTTTTGGTTTTACATTAAAAAACAAATGAACGAACGACACACGGATTTATCTCAAATCGATTCGATACATTTCAATAAAAATCACGTCTAAATCCTGGGTGTGACACTAAAAGTCTTTGTTAAATCACTTCTTCTTGTGCAAAGTTCAAATGAAACACAAATATTTAAATCGTCAAAACAGTGAAAATGTCAAATGTGTCACATAAACGAGTTTCTTCCTCTGAACAAAAAACAAAACTGGAGCTGAACAAAATCATTTAGTAAAATAAACCAAAAAATATATTGATACAGCAGAACACGATATCGATATTGAGTCAGCACAGTAAACGATATATAACGATATATCGATATTTTAATATTTTGGCACAGCCCTGTATCGGCAGATCCTGGAGTCCTGAGTATCGTATCGAACTACAAAAAGCTGGATCGGTGCATCTCTAGTTTTTAGAAAGTATTTTTCAAAAAGGTACAAATTTGGTAATTTTTCCTCCTTTAATCCTGTCTCCTTTTTCGTTAAAACATGAACGTATCAAAAAATCAGAATTTTAATTAAAAACAAAAGAAAATAGAATCACTGAAGTTTCACTCGTGTTTTTTACTGAGCTGCAGATTTCAACTGTTTTCAAATCTGTTCCCAACCTGAAAAAAATCCTTCAAACTTAAGTTCTTCTGGAAAATTTCTCAATTCTCGAACAAAAATTTTCTCGCTCTTCATTTCCATTTTCCGTCCAGACATTCGCCAAATCGAAATTCTAATTCATCTCCAAACGTGGAAGTTAAAGATTCGCTGTGAAACTTTCCCGGTGGAGGGTCTGTCACCTGCTTCTTTTCACTGTCTGTCATGTTTTTGTTTTGCTCGAAATGTTCCGCGATACGGCGTTAAACGTTTCTATCTCCACGGAGACGAGCGAGCGACGGTGCGGAGACGCTGTACAGGTCAGATCTGTGGAGAGACGATACGAACGCAGAGATTTTAAAGGTTTTTCTGAGCAGTGAAAACACCTGAAGTTGAAGAAAAGTGAGAAGTTGATGTTTTTTTTTTTTCGCTGTGGGACGTTTCAGCGACGCCGTCCAGAAAAGTTCCACAGTGTCTCTTTAAAAACAGCAGCAGTTTAAAGGTTTGATATGATGTAAAACTGACTCCCGTGAGGTTCAGGTGTTGTTCAGGTGAGGTTCAGGTGAGGTTCAGGTGAGGTTCAGGTGAGGTTCAGGTGAGGTTCTGATGTTCCTGGTCACACACACAGAGCTGGACGGTGGTGACGTGGGGATTTTTTGGCGATTTGTGACGCCATCGAAGTGATGATGTCACAAATCGCGCCCGCCTCCTCCCGCCCAAAAACCAAACTCAACTCAACCTGACGAATCAAAAAAAATAATAAATCACTTTCAGTACAAACAAAAAATCTGTAATATTAGATTTTTTTTTTAAACCAGGACTAAACCAGGACTGAACCAGGACTGAACCAGGACTAAACCAGGACTAAACCAGGACCAAAACTGGACTAAAACAGGACTGAACCAGGACTAAACCAGGACTAAAACCAGGACTAAACCAGGACTAAACCGTGAATGCATCAGGACTAAACTAAAGACTAAAGCAGGACTAAAACTGGACCGAATCAGGTCTAAACTAGGTCTGAACCAGGACGAAACTACGACTAAACCAGGACTAAACCAGGTCTAAACCAAGACTAAACCAGGTCTAAACCAGGACTAATTTTGGACTGGAGAGAGAACCCCGAGTCCATGGAGCAGGGTGTCCACAAAGCACAATTGTAAGACCTGGTTTAGTTCTGGTTTAGTCCTGGTTTAGTCCTGGTTTAGTCCTGGTTTAGTCCTGGTTTAGTCCTGGTTTTAGTCCTGGTTTAGTCCTGGTTTAGTCCTGGTTTAGTCCTGGTTTAGACCTGGTTTAGGCCTGGTTTAGACCTGGTTTAGTCCTGGTTTAGGCCTGGTTTAGGCCTGGTCCAGTCCTGCAGATATGAACCTGTGCAGTTTGTTTGCTCTGTTCCACCTCGTGATGTCATCAGGTGGTGGTTTTCAAGTGAACAGCTCTTTTTAGTTTGCTGTAAATGGTCAGTTTCATATGAAAGATAAATTTGTTCCATTACATTTTGAATTTTAAAAACCGCTTGGAATTTTTTAACATGTTTGAATTATTTTTCTAAATATTTTCACTTTAACAAACACTTCGAAAAAAAGTTCACGTAAAATTTCAGCAGCTTAAATTCAGAATAAAAATAATTTAAAAAACACAACTCCAGGTCTTTTTGTGACGAGGAAACGACGTCAGAACATCAGAAAATTGAGTAATTTGGGCCATTTACTGTAGAATTTTGTAACTTCACTGAAATAATTTGATATTTTGATTTTGAAATTGCACTTTTTAAAAATAAATGATGGTAAAAGAATCACTATTTTAGCTCTGATTTTCTCCGGACGTGTTCGGACAGACACGGGCGTTTGGAAAAGTCGGAACACCAGGTCACTGCTGACGGACGCTAAAGCCGCACTGTGGGACTTTTCTTTTTCGTTTCCATGGAGATGTGTCTTAGTTTTGTCGGGGATGTTCCGCAGTCGAGCTTTTTACGCAGGACTTTATTCCCGTGTGGTGTTTTAGCGTTGGAACGAATCTCTTGGAAAAACGTGCTTTCGTGAATCGCTTCTCCGCAGATCTGACCCGTGACCTGCCTCCTCCTCACCATGGAGACCGACCGTTTTAATGCCATATTGCGGGTTTTACTTAGTGTAGCTTTAAAGAGTCTGAATGATTCTGTTTTCCGGATGTTCTGGTGCAGTTTCCTCCTCACAAACAGATCTGGAGTTTTTTGTTTTTTTGTTTTTTCCCATTCACGTTTATCTCACAAACCTGCACTTTTAGAAATTAAGTACAGAAAATAATTTGTTGTGTTAGATTTACAATTTTAAATACCACTTTGAATTTTTTTACTCTGAAAAAACATGTTTGAATTATTTTTATTCTGAATTCCAGTTGCTGAAAGTTTGTGTTTCAGATTCAAAATTAAAACGTTCACCTTTTAAATATTTAGCACAAATATTTTCAAGCCTCAAAATTTGCAGTGAAAAAAAAAATTGCAGCAGAGATCCACACACACGCGTTTTTATTTTGAATTTGAAAAATACTGAATAATGACACTTAAAATTTCATCAAAATTCAGAATAAAAAATTATTCAAATATCTTTGAATTTTTCAACTCTGAAAAAACAGGTTTAAAAATGTACACACAGAATTTCAGCAACTAAAATTTTGAATAAAAATAATCTAAAGTGTTTAAAATTCAATATAAAAAATGTCAAAGTGCAAAGATCCACACATACATTTTTATTTTGAATTTGAAAAATATTGAAAAATTACTCTTAAAGTTTCTGCAAATCAAACTCAGAATAAAAATAAAAATAAGAGATTTTTAAAAAAAGACATTTGAAGAGTAAAAAAAATGCAGATGTTTAAAATTCAAAATCTGACCAAATGAACAAACGATCTTCCATAGTTTAGCATCATAGTTTAACACACTCTTCACTTCCACCTTGTGATGTCATCATGTGGTGATACAGGAAGTGCTCCACTGTGTTTTTAAACTCCACACTTCACCTTCACTAGAATCAACTGGATCATTTTTTCAAACCTGGAATTTCTTCACGGATCTCGACTGAACTAAAAGTAAAAGGATCTGAAAAAAACAACCAACCCCTTCATGACATCACGAGGTGGAACTCCAGGTCTGTGTTTGACGAGGGAACATTAGAACACAACACGGGTCATTTTTATTTATTTTTTTGTTCTGGGACGTTTCGTTGTTTCTCGTGACATTTCAATGACTTTTTTTTGTTTAGTTTTTCTTCCAAACCCCAGGACGAGCCTTGAATCGTGTGTGTGTGATTTTTGTAATAAATGTAAAAATATAAATTAAATGTACAAATAAAGTTTTATGAAAGTTTTGGTCAGATGTTTGGTGTTCAGACGTAAATAAAAATGTTCTAAATGTATTTATATCACTCGTGAACGAATAAAGACGCACAAAAGTCAAACTGAACCTTTTGTTTTGTTGTTGTTTTTTTCCATCTTCACACGGGGGGGAGGTTCTACGTGTGTGTCTAAGGGCGGAACGTCCAGCGGTTTCCACGGTGACGCAGCGTTCACGTCAGAGCTCTGAAGAGGGACATCGGGTTTTCAAAACTCTAAACGGGGACACACCCGGACGTTTGGATGTTCGGTGTAAATAAAATAACGAAAAGAGCGTCATGGAAATCCTGGAAAACGTCCTGGAATGTTAGTGTGTCTGTTTCCCGCAGCTCCAGGGTTCTGTTTATTTTGTTTAAAAGAGACGACAGTAAACGCCAGGATTTAGAAAGTTCAAAAACTGTAATCCCAAACCAGAAGGTGAGAGGAAAGATTTAATGTTTCAGATTTAGAACTAAAATGATCAGTTTTACACATGGAGGTGCTGGAAAGTCCTGGAAAATTCACTTTAGTCATGAAAACATCATGGAAAAGTTTGGAAATGTCAGTGAAAAAGAGTTTGAACCCTGTTTGTGGATTCTCATGTCAGGGTCAGTTTTGTGTAACATAATTTCAACAACATTTCTGCTTGTATCCATGGATATACTAGTGTTTTGTTTTGTTTTTTACAGGTGAATAGTCAGATCTATGGAGAGGCGAGCTGCACATACGAAGAATTCACATTTTTTAAGTAATAAAAAAATATATTGTCAGTGTCAGAATCTGGGAAACTTCTGACGCTGTATTTTTATTTTGTATTTTTTGCTTTTTGTTCTTTCACAAACATATTTTTCTTTATTTTGGTAAAACAAATGATCATTTCTGTTCCTCTTTACAGTTGACGAGGATCAGATTAGTCAAAAACACTGATGGTTCTGTTTTTTGTTGTGTCTCGCGCTTGGGACTCGGGGGGAAATCGACCTCCACCTCGGGAAAGTTCAACTTGGACGAGTTGAGCGCAGACTGAACCTTGTGATGTCATCAGGTGGTGATTGTTTTACAGGCTGATCTTCTCTGAACTCTTATTTATTGTATTTATCTGTGTTAAATGTGGGTTTTGTCCTGATAAAACAGGTTCATGGGTTTAGTAAGAGAAAAGATGAAAGATTTGTGAATAAACTTTTTGGATATTTCATGACAAAGTGTTTAAAAAATAATAAAAACAGGTCTGAGAAAAGATTTAACCAGGAATTAACTTGGTTTGAAGCAGGACTAAACCAGGACTAAACCAGGACCAAACCAGGACTAAACCAGGACTAAAACAGGACTAAACCAGGTTAAACCAGGACTAAAACAGGACTAAACCAGGACAAACCTAAACCAGGACCAAACACTAAACCAGGACCAAACCAGGACTAAACCAGGACTAAACTAGGACTAAACAGGACTAAACAGGACTAAATCAGGACTAAACCAGGTCTAAACCAGGACTAAACCAGAACTAAACCAGGTCTAAACTAGGACTAAACCAAGACTTCTAAACTAGGACTAAACCAGGTCTAAACTAAGACTAAACCAGGTCTAAACTAGGACTAAACCAGGACCAAACCAGGACTAAACCAGGACTAAACCAGGTCTAAACCTACGCCTGAACTTGGACTAAATGAACAATAAATCTGGTCTAAACTGGGACTGAACCAGAACTAAACCAGGTCTACAGGAGCTTAGGATAAACCAGCACAAAAAAACAGTCTAAACTTGGACTAAAACAGGACTAACCCAGCTGGAGTCAAATCCCTGATGAACTAAAGGGAAAAAAAGCTGCTCATTTAAGGAAAAAAAAAAAAAAAGTGACCGGTTTCTGACATCACGAGGTGGAGCGGAGTGTTTGCAGATGTAAAAAGACTCATAATAAAGATTTACTCAAACACGTGAATGAAACAAACACAAGTCCAGGTCTGAGTGACGAGGAAACGGTGTTGGAACAGATCAGGAAATAGAATCAGATCAATAAATGTGGATCAAGTGGAACTACGAGCCTGAACATCGTCACCTGTGAGACTCTGGCGCCGCCTCATGGCCAAAGAAAACTTCTAAAAACAAAACATTCAAATTCAAATCATCTTTGTCTCTTACATGTTGATAAAACTGATAAAAGTGATCAAATTATGATTTTGTTTCCTGGTTGGAAATCCTGACAGTTACCATAGCAACCGGGTCGTCCACTGGGCCAAAACTCCTCTGATGTTCTCCTGAAGAAGCAACGCCTGTGCTGAGCTCACAGCCTCCTGAAGAACCTCACACATCCTGAA